TATTTTGTATATATATTTATATTTTTATTTGTATATAGATATGAATATATATATATATATATATATATATTTTTGCTGTTTATTTATTTATTTATTTATTTATTTTAAAATTTCGATTTTTTTATATTTTTTTGGATTTTTTTTAAAAATCCGATGTGGTATGCTGATGTGGCAAAAAATCTATGTGGCGTACCACGTCAGCAGCTACGTGGCGTGCCACGTCAGCGGTTAACGGACACTTAACATCGTTTTCGGATTGTGTAGGAAATTGCAGTTAAATTGGATAGTTCGTGTATCAATTTGGCACATTTGATAATTTGGTGTAGTTTTTTATCAAATTAAAAATTCGTGTAGGAAAAGGTCACATTTGTAAATTTTGGTGTAGTTTTTTGTCAAATTAAAAATTCGTGTAGGAAAAGGTCACATTTTACAAAGTCGGTGTAGGAAAATGTCATTTTCCCTTATAAATACTATACGTATATACATATATGTATGCGTTCATATTCGGAATGTTTATAAATATTATATAGATGTTGTTTCCCTCTTGTACACCGTAAAAAGGATGCATATAGAAAAAAACTTAGACAATTCTCTCCGATGCTTTGGGGGATTAAAATACCGTGAATAAAATATGATGCTAATAACTAGCGGGTGGTAATAAATCCACCTTGGGATCGGTAAATTAAATATTTCACCAAACCCTACAAATGCTTTTTTCTTTCTAAGTTTTTATTCCTAAATTAAATTAAGAAAAATATAATGGTCCCGAAAATGACATCATCCAGGCCTGCCATAAAACTAAGCGGCCCAATGAAGACGCATCATCATCAGTCACCCCGGTTTCAAGAGAGATTGAATTACCAATATACCCTCCACCGTTACTATTATCCTTTTTGTGCTTGAGAGAAGGGATTTTACGAAAACGCCCTTCCCTCTGTCCCTCACCGGAACTGAGCGCCGGTGAAGGTCTGGCCGAAGGACCAGCCGGAGGGAGCGACGTTGAAGGAGACGAGGGAGCGGCCATCGCCGGTGGTGAGCTTGAAGGAGAGAGCTTGTCCGTTGAGGTAAGAGTTGCTCTGCCAGTTCTGTCCCCAGTTCCTCGACATCGCCTGCCATCCTGTCCGAGCACCCTTTATCGCCGCTGCGTGCACATCTCCGGCGCCGGCGACGTTGGTGATCAGAACCAGGTTGAAGTAAGAGTGCCCGTTGATCGTGAACCTTATCCCTCCCCTTCTCCTGCACGGAACTCTGCAATCACACAACCCAAAAAAAAAAACAGAGTAAGGCTCGGAATTCATTTCATAGAACTGAATAAAATCTACGAATCTCCAAGAATTTTCACGAGGGAAATGAAAAATTCTGTCTTGATCACTAGTTTCAAGTGTGTCGTGCCATCTAATCTGTTTCAGAAATCAGAGAAGCTGAACAAAGCTCGTGCAGTAAATTGGACTGGTCGAGCCAAAAACCGCAGAATCTGATACATTCAACCGGTTTCAAGAGACATAAACCGAGTTCCACGTACTCTGTTTCGAACAAAACAGAAGAGAGCGTACCTTCGGTAAGAAACAGGGACAATACCAGCTCTGTACTGAGCAATGCGCTGAAACACAGGCTGAGAGAGATCAAAGTGCTGCTGGGGAGGGTTACACCATCCACCGCCATTGTTGGGCAAAGCGTTATTGGGAGGGCAGAAATTTGTGGCGGGGGCGACGATGGAGCCGGGAAGACACCATTTTGGATCACTAACACATCTTATCTCGAAGCAAGCCCCACAGCTACGATGGAGCCGGGAAGACACCATTTTGGATCACTAACACATCTTATCTCGAAGCAAGCCCCACAGCTAAGCCCGTTGTTGAACAGAGCCGTGCTCAATGCCGCAGTGTTCGTCCCGTACCCTTGGCTGTACAGGTTGCCGTACCCACAAGCCCCGCCTGATGGAAATTTTGTACGAGATCGTTAGAAAGAAAAAGGAGGAACCTTTGCCAAATGGGTGCCATGATTTTGCATAGATTGTTCATTTAGAGTGCTTTTGTCCATATGGGTCTGTTGCATTCTGTGTATTGTCCGTTAAAAGGCTCACCCTTGGCCTCTTTTATCGTTTCAATTCCTCTTTTGACATTTGAAGCTGTAATTCTTGTATGTCTTAATGCTGAAGAAAGGCGACATTTTTTTTTTGGAGAAGGATGTCGGTTTTAGTCTTTTAGATGCCATTAATAAATAAGCTAAACAAACGGGGTTGAAGTGGTAGTTTAAAGGAACCTTGAGGGAAAATGTTGATAAAGGTGGAAACTTTTTTTTTTGTGGGGGTGAAGAAGAAGAAAGTATACCCATACTGCCGGAAGCGTCACCGCCGCCGTAGAAGGTGGCATGGGCGTTGATCCAACCGCCGCCGCCGCCATTCACACCGGAGGCCATCATCCCGAACAAAACCAAAACCAAGAACCCAACAAAACCCATCTCTTCTTCTTGTTCTCGTTGTATCCTGCACATTGACGACAAAGTTAATCACTTTTGCTTTTGTCCACCTAAAAAAACATGCCCTTGAACGTTTTGTTTATTGCAGAATCGTTACAGGAAGCGAAAGTGGGTAATAACTTGAATCAGAAAATGAGAGAGAGAGAGTAATTACTTGGAATATGTAAAATTTCTTCTTTCCTTTCAAGAGAGAGAAGTAGAGAATCTTACGTTCTTGTAGGGATGAGAAACAAGCACTTGAATTTATAGAAATATTGACGAGGAAGATAGCCGTTATTTACGATTGTGCCACTGAAGCCTAGATAGGCTCCTTCTAAGCTTTTTTTTCCAAATCAAAAAGCAAAAATTAAAAAAAAAAAACATAATTTTATTTATTAGTTGTACATCATTAATATTTTGTTTTTTTTTTCGGAGGAAAAAAAACAGGTGAGGGAAATGCAACGGGAGAACACGGTGGGAGGGAGCTACAAGACATAAAGCCTTCTGTCCTTCGAACCGTGCGTGTATCTTTTTCATGTGGGAATCCTACATGAAAAAATCGATTTATAATTTACTTTGCTGTATTGACAATGCATTAAAAACACAAGATTGATATGTTTATTTAAAACTAAGCGGCCCAATGAAGACGCATCATCATCAGTCACCCCGGTTTTATTAAATTCGGGTTTTTTCCGGATTTTTATTGAAAATACATTTTATATACGTAATTTTGTTTTACTTCGTTTTTTTTGGATTTTATATCCAAATCTAGTTTGGCTGCTGTAATCTTTAAAAAAAAAATCATATTCAATTTGATTTGATGGGATACAGTCGTATAATACGATTCGGTTATAAAATTCGTACATAGATATATAAAAAGAAATTTGGAGATATACCAACAGTTGATTGCCCAGTGATTGAGAGATGACAAAATCATTCTCAAGGTCATGTGATGTAATTTCTGGATCAAAATGATCTATATACAAAATTTGGTCCTGTATTTAGGATGGATTTAGTGGTGTTGAAGGATCGAGAACTATCCTGATTATAAAAAAAAATTGGAGGTACAATAAATAGAAACAATGTAGATGGAAGACTATATCAAACCCGCTTGGAACCTATCCGAACAATTCTAGCGTGTGAAACTGCGTGCTGATTGAGTTTTAAAAAAACGTATCAATGGTTGTTTTGTCAGTTTTTTTTTCCCAAAATAATGATTATTTGGTGTTTCTCTAATCATTTGTAGATAAAATTTAAAAAAATAATAATAATAATAATAAACAACTAGAAGAATCAGTTCTGTTCTTCTGCTCCTCATCATTACAAGACAGCTTTTTTGTTCAAGACGGTGTCTTTCGACCACATGCGGCGTATCTCTGTTTCTCGCTCATTTATCGGTTCATATATTATTATTTTTATATACTTTTGTTTCATCTCTCGAGAAATAATACGTAACAGAAATTGGATTTTTATTTAAATTAACTGAATTTAGGAATGTATGATCTAGGAAGTAGTCGTAGATTTCCGCGTCTGCAGTATATTAACGTATATTTTACGGATTTGTTTCTTTCCTTATTTATAGTAGTATTGTTGATATTTTTCTGTTGTAAGATAAGATTTCATTCTTATCTCTTGCTCTGTATATATATGGAAGCGTACAAAGTGAATAAAGTATCACAAATTTCCCCTTTACTTTTCTAAACGTATTATGGTATCAGAGCATTAAATGCTCCGCTAGCTGCTTTTTTCAGATCTCTATTTTTCTTTAGTTTCTTCTTCAGCGTTCTGCTTTCTGCTTTTTGCTTTTTCAGAATGTCTTCCCATTCTGATAATGAATCACCCACTACTCAACGTGCCGCCTCGCCTGTTCTCTCTAATTCTCTTGATCCATACTCAAATCCTCTTTATCTCATATATATACAGAGCAAGAGATAAGAATGAAATCTTATCTTACAACAGAAAAATATCAACAATACTACTATAAATAAGGAAAGAAACAAATCCGTAAAATATACGTTAATATACTGCAGACGCGGAAATCTACGACTACTTCCTAGATCATACATTCCTAAATTCAGTTAATTTAAATAAAAATCCAATTTCTGTTACGTATTATTTCTCGAGAGATGAAACAAAAGTATATAAAAATAATAATATATGAACCGATAAATGAGCGAGAAACAGAGATACGCCGCATGTGGTCGAAAGACACCGTCTTGAACAAAAAAGCTGTCTTGTAATGATGAGGAGCAGAAGAACAGAACTGATTCTTCTAGTTGTTTATTATTATTATTATTATTTTTTTAAATTTTATCTACAAATGATTAGAGAAACACCAAATAATCATTATTTTGGGAAAAAAAAACTGACAAAACAACCATTGATACGTTTTTTTAAAACTCAATCAGCACGCAGTTTCACACGCTAGAATTGTTCGGATAGGTTCCAAGCGGGTTTGATATAGTCTTCCATCTACATTGTTTCTATTTATTGTACCTCCAATTTTTTTTTATAATCAGGATAGTTCTCGATCCTTCAACACCACTAAATCCATCCTAAATACAGGACCAAATTTTGTATATAGATCATTTTGATCCAGAAATTACATCACATGACCTTGAGAATGATTTTGTCATCTCTCAATCACTGGGCAATCAACTGTTGGTATATCTCCAAATTTCTTTTTATATATCTATGTACGAATTTTATAACCGAATCGTATTATACGACTGTATCCCATCAAATCAAATTGAATATGATTTTTTTTTTAAAGATTACAGCAGCCAAACTAGATTTGGATATAAAATCCAAAAAAAACGAAGTAAAACAAAATTACGTATATAAAATGTATTTTCAATAAAAATCCGGAAAAAACCCGAATTTAATATATAATTTTCATAAACCCAAAATATTACGAAGACCCTAACCACAAACCAAATTGCAGCGTCGT